TTTAGATAAAAAGGGGAAACATTTGGCATAGGTTTGTATCCAGCTCTCTTTACTTTGTTCATTTAAAACAAAAGCCAAGCACAGAGAAATGTCTTCACACCTCAACTAATTTAATTACTACATAATACAAACACTAAAAGGTACTACAGCTGTAGACTACCTCCTGTGTGGAACCAGTGTCTATAAAACTTCATTTGTGAATAACTTTAGCAGCTACAAGTAGGTAGCACTGACCTTGCATCTAATGAAGATTGTTGAAAGCTTGGTCCACATCCACTTTCTCCCTCTGATGATGTCTTTGTTGGATCCACTACTGTTTGCCTACTAGTCTGGTACCTGGATATAGGATGCCATCATTTCACTTCTACACCAAGCTCTGGGATGTCATTGAAGTCCTTAAGATCCTTTTGGACTCTGGTGGAATCACCTATCTTCTGTGGTGCAGTTTGTTTAAGCAGCAGGTTATCTACCTCTGAGAGGAAGAGACAAATTAGATTAGCTCATTAGGAACGCCTGCTCTGTCCTAAGATGGAGGTGCAAGTGATGAGAGACAGAAGGATTCTGGAAAAGGCCAGGTGATTTCTCCTATCCTATGCATGAAGCTGCCATGGAAATGGAGAGCTCTTTCCGTGAAAGCCGAGAGCCTTAATGCAGATACACCCACACCTGTTTGACTCTATGAACATCATTTTTCCCGACAAATTCAATAAGTGTTTACATCTTGTTAATAACACAGTTTTCCTTGTTTGTAGTTTGTTTTTATTCACAATTATACATGTGTATTTTTTACATTTTTAGATCAAAATAATCAGTTGCACATTTCCTTTTTCTTAGTATGCCATTTTCTATAACTATATTTATTTATTTTGTTATTTATTTATTTTTGACATTTTACCTCATTTGCCGCTGATATAACTATATAAATCTTACTATTGTGGGACAGTTTAGTATTATCAGTGGTGTGACCAAAATAAATCTGGCCTCCATCAAAGATAATTGAAATTAAATAAAAAATTTAAAAAACGAATGCCAAAAATTGCATTGCATACAGATGTTAGGAGACGGCAGAAAGTTGTTTGAAGTAAATTGAAACAACAGGGTTTTTCTACCAAGGGCTGACTCAGATGGTCAAGATCAAATGCATGCCACACTTTTCAGATTTTTTTTTTTTTTTTTTTTTTACATTTTAAAATTGATGTTATTTGTTTTAACCATTTTTTTTAAAGCGTGTGCTACTTAGCATTGCTTTATCACCAGAAAGTATTGGTGGTAACAAGGCAAAATCAAGTTTTGCATGGTACTATACCAATATATTAGTAGTATCTGACGTGTTCTGCAGTTTATTTGCTTGTTTATAATGCTCAAGTTTGGAAAAAGAATGGCAAAAAAATCCTGACCACTTCAGAGTCAGATGACAAGAGGTGCACTGTGAACACCAAATTCAGGTATCCCTTTTACACTAGGAGTTTATGTCCTTTAGGTATTTCCAAATGTAGGTTGGAGGCATGAAGACTAGAGAGTACGTGTGAAACTAGAGTTTTATCTAAAAAAAAAATACACAAAAAAAATCTGAAAATTTGGGAAATGTTCCAAGTAGTAGCTTTCCATTGTAGTTGTTTCTTTTACAAGAACTGATCTAATTACATATGATATTCAATAGCTTTTGTGCCCACTGGATGATACATTTAATGCTTGGAAAACTACATTAGGTTATCTTCTTCATTGCATTTTCCAAATCCAAAGGATTCTGTCACATGTACAGAATCAAACTAGTATATGCTTGAGAAAAAAAAAAAAGAATTGAACAAATCAGAACTGGGTGTACCTAACAGAGGATAGGAATCTCACTCTGATATATGTATAAAAACAAACAAACAAAAAAAAAAACCCATAAAGGCCAGCTGACACAAGGTGGATAGCTAGGTGGCAAAGAAGAGTAGAAACAAACAGAGCGATGAAAATAGAACGATACCTGTGGAGCTTTCTGAGATTCACGAAAAGGTAAAAATCTACAGTGCAATCTCCTCTTAATCTGCACCAGGTGTTAGGCATTAGGGAGAGCATCTCTTCTTTGGCTTTTTACATGTGGCTCAGTCACCCAGGGGAGTATGTCAGATGTTGGACAAAACGGAGAAAGGCAGAGATTTTCGAAAGGGGTAAAAGAAAGGAATCTGTACCCGGTCAAAAAAAAAAAAAACACTTATGTGGAAGATAATTGAATTATTTAGAATGATTCCCAGGAATGACATTTATATAATATATAATGTGGGAAAGCGTTCTCATGAGAATACAGAACAGTGTTAAGACTGCAGTGAGACAAAAAATCTGATATATGGGCAGTGAAACAGAAGAGTTTGGCTTTTAATGAGTAAGATTTAGAAATACAATTAAACTCAATCCCGTGGAGGGTTTCAGTTAACTACAAAGAGAAGTGAGACCAGACAATTCCCTAAGTGAGAACACAAAGCAAGGGGGTACTCTACAAAATGAGGAACTCAGTATTAATATTATATTCTAAATCGTGAAGATACAGTCTAAATTGTTTTAATGCTAGCTTCTCAGCTTCAAGGAATTAAGTATTTTGCAAGTGCAGCTGTGCTAAAACAAAGAGAAAAGGAAATATGGAAGCCACAATGACATAAAGTGATGTTGACATTGTTGTTGCTGCAGATTACACATGACACTCTAAATCAGTGGAGCTGATTGTGTGATGTTTAAATGTATCAGAGGCATGGGAGAGGAAACTTAATACCCTAGCACTGGGAGAAGGAGAATGCGACCGGGCACGTGCGGAATGTAGAGTGGCAGGGAGGAAAGCAGCAATCTACATTTCTAATGCCGAGGATGTTTTCTATTCCATGTTTATGAAACATGGCTACCAGGACTACAAAGGTAAGGGGATACGGCATCAAAGCTTGCCCTGACAAAAACAAAAAAAGTGCTGCAGTGGAATGCACTACAGAACATAATACTCCACCTCCTCCTTCTCCTCCTCTCGCCTAAGCAGTCTCATTTGATTACAGTGTAGCAGGCCCAAAATCAACCCCTTAATCCCAGTTCTCACTCCCCACTGGTGTTATGAGTTAGAGGTAGATCAGAAGTTTGCGAAGCAAGATGGGGGACGGAGAATTGGAGTGATGATGTTGTGTTGTGGAGAAGAATCTCTGATTCAGAGAACAAAGGCGAGGTGAGCCGAGGAGTCCGTGGCAGAGGCTGAGAGTGGCTGTTGTCCTTGGTGTGGTGACTCAGGCGGAGACATCATGTCTGATGATGGTTGAGGCAGTGTATCGTTTACAGGCTCCCTTAGCAGAAGCCCCCTTCTCATGTCCGTCTCCAGCCACAGATTTTGCACTCTACTTAGGGCAACAAGAGTCAGGCTCAGCATTACAAGCCTATTAAAAGATACTTTTAATTATCCCCCGCTCTCCTGGGATCACGTCTTCCGTGACTGCTGTATTTCTTTGGCATGTGCACTTAGGAATGGCACAACCAGGCGCACGCGTTGTTTTCTTCTTCCAATTAAAGGGCATGTTGACAGATTAAGGTTGCTTCTGGTTTGTGCTCCAGTAACGCATTTAGGGAAGATGATGAACACTGGGGAGTTAGGGTGGGAGGGGGTGTGTTGAGGTAGGGCCAAGGTGGGTTGGCTGGAGTGAAGATGGTTCTGGGCGGGGGGAACGCAGAGTTAGGAGAGGCTGATAGAAGAGACCAAATGAGAGAAAGAACATGCACGTGATCCCTGAGGGATTAATGTGTTTACATTACCTGGGCTGTGATCTATCACCAACCTCGTCAACTTCTATTATGCATCACATACATAAGCAAGGAACAGACCTGGGAGCCCCTGCAATTCACTCATACTATTTCAATTGGATTAAGTCAGAGCAAATATGTGGGACACTGCTCTCACACTGTGGTTTCAACATTTTGGCAGTCATGGGATTTGCACATTGTATCACCTTACGTTTTGTGCAGGCAGTCTTCCTACATACCTCGTTAGCTTTAAGGTAGTGTAGGATTATTACCGTATGACACGCTCAGAACAATCTATAGTTCTAGTTGGACAAAAGTGAGGAATTAAGAGACTTAAAAATGAAGAAAAGAAGAGAATTAAGAATTAAGAGACAAATGTATATACACAGGTCCATTTCATTTCAGTAAAATAAAACAAAAGTTGTTCTTTGTGTTGTTTTTTTTCTAAATCTCAGTAATTAAATTCAAATGTAAAGAATTATAGAGATGAATGTAAATTGATCTATTTTAAACAGTGAAATTTCTTTTTATAACATACATCTAGAAAAAAATGCCATCAAATCAAAATAAAAAAAAATAAAACACATAAATTTCTTTTAGAGCCAAAATAGGGCAAATTAAATCACGACCCCTTACTTAACAGAAGTCTAATGTCTAATAATCTATCCCTGTCACCCTAAAAAAACAGGCAGGTGCTAAATATTCAAGTTACTCACAGATAAGTATATTAATGGGAAGTTTGGTGGAAGGAAAACATAACACTTAAAATTTTATACGAAACAGCCATAAACTCAATCTAAATAGAATTAGCAGAGCAAAGCAAAGCCTGCACATGTCATCAGTCTTTTTAAATAACTTTCTGATTTATTAAATTTTAGGCTTCCATTAAAGGCCAAGATTACAAAAATAAAACACTTAAAATATATGCAAATGTAGGTGATACATCTAATGCATATCATATGAGCACTTTTTTATATTCATTACTGTAATAAATCCAATTGTTTTTACAACCCCCTTTATAAGATACTTTGCTGCAAACATTTGCCATCTACAGTGTAAAGGAGGGGGTTACTGTAAGAACCAATATTCACACTCAGGAATTATTATTTTCAATCAATATTCATTTACTCACTGAGTCTATTGACTCCTTTCTGAAGTGATACTTCAGGTCGTCCATCTTGCGATGGAATAGTGTGAATTATCCATTTTATAGCTTCACCCATATGAGTCTTGATAGGCCCCACAGATACAGTGGTAAATAAATATTTTTAATAAAACAACAAAAAAAGGGAAATCAATGAGTGCTTCCTCTGATCCTTCTCAGGCGAATCAATCATCATCTGCTCCACTGACGGTGTGCTGCTGGAAGATGTTGCTGCAGCTAAAGAGAGAGAGACAGACAGAGAGGGGTTTGCAATCTTTCTCTAATACATCTCGTTTTGGAATCACTTCTCATAATGGGGTCATCATTTCATCACTGAGCCAATCCAGAGGTCTGTCATTAAAACTGGGGGCAGTGAAGGTGGGATGTGCAAAAGCAGAAAAAAACCCTTTCAGGTGGAAACACACACTCACTCTCGCATGATACATCTTCATTTAAGTCACTAAAGAAGCAAAGAAGCAAGCAGACTTTAAAGCCGTATCAGCACATTGTGGTTCCAGTGCATTTGATTTTTTTTTCTTTTTGTTGTGTGTAAAAAAAAAAAAACGCAAAAAATAAAGGTAAACAAGACATTTACAAAAAAGAAGGTAATTATTAACTACTGATAAGTAAAATGTTATACTGTATGATTGGATCTTGAAGGAGCATGTGATCCTTCTTAGGGATTTCGAGAAGATGTCCTCATCTGAATGGCTTTTTAAATACATTTTTTTTAATGGAAATTTGCTGTTGAAAAATGAAACCTTTCAAAACAATAGAATAGAATAGAATAGAATAGAATAGAATAGAATAGAATAGAATAGAATAGAATAGAATAGAATAGAATAGAATAGAATAGAATATTAGTTATGGTACTACAGGGGATTTTTTTAAACATCAGGTAGGGAGAAGTGTATAACAAATGCAAAATCCAGCTATAAAAAAACGACATACTTATATAAAATGAAATGTTCAACTGAATAGGATGATATGAAAAAAGTACAAAATTGGCTTCTACAAGTGTAAACACAAAAAAAGAAAGAGACAACTTTCCAAAAATATCTGAACAACTAAAATAATAATACAGAGAACAGTAAAAACTAACCTGTTCTCTATTCAGGCTGCAGTGCATATATGTTTAATCATTTAATAACCCTTGGAAAGAAAAGCAAGGTCAATAATAAATTACATCCATTATTTGCCGCAGATCTCCCCAAAGCATTTGGAGCGAAAACTGTTTTGAATTTCAATTGGCTTCCAAGTGGCAAAAGCCCTCAGCTAATACATCAAAGAAAAATTGGTGTCAACTAATCGGTTTAGGACACAGATTTAGAATGGTTAAAAATCCCATGAATACGTCAAGCATTTTTTTTTTCTTTTTCCTGTACACCACTAAAGACTTTGGGGAGCAGCGCAGCTGACCTTGCGCGCTCCAGAAACCTGTCCGCCACTCGACATTAACTGACTGTTTAACTCCATCCAGCCGCGCAATTAGTCCGCCACAATGCATAATGTTGTGTAATAATAGCCTTTATATCCAATTTAGATTACATTTGCTCCCTCAGGCATTTTAAGTGGCATGCATCATCTTTCATTCGTTTCTAAGCCAGGAAAAGCAGTTTCCATGCGTCAAAGACAAAAAAAAATCGATGGAGGAGAAAAGGGATGGCGAAAATATAAACAAAAAACAAGAAAAAAAAAAGATGTCATCCCTTTTTTACGCATCAGAAAAAAATGGCAGACGCTGCTTACCTCCTCCTTTATCTGCGCGGAATTCAGAGGCGGTATCAGTTGCTATAACTCTGCTCCTATTAAAAGCTGCGTGATCTTCAAATTATGGCTCCTACTTCAGGGGAGGCGTTTCTGAAACAAAACACACCAGGAAACAAGACACACTCTCCAGCCCTTATGACAAACAGCCTGTATAAACGCAATGATATAAAAAATGATTGCATATGACAAGTCGAAAGAAGGATGCATCGATTAGTTCCTGTTTCACTAATAATGTATTTCACATATCAGTAAAATAATAGACCTTTTTAAAAACTCTTTGCAGAGAAAGTTGAAATACTTAGTTGACTCTCTTAACAGGTTTCATAATATCAGTGTCATCTGATCAGGCTCTTTAGTAGAGGCCGCTTTGTGTGCGTCGATCCTTCTCTCTCCCCCTTTCTCCTCTCCTCTCTGTGACTCTCCTGTCTAAAGTCTGAGTGTGCTCGCACTGTGTAACGCCGTCATCACTCTTTGCTCTCTGGAGGGGTTTCAGAGCGTAAGAAGCACGTGACAGAGTGTGTGCACACACTCTTTAGCAGCGCCTACAGCGATCCCTTTCGGCTTATCTGAGACTTGAACTGCATTCAGCCACCAAAATAATTAAAATAAGGTTAATTTATTTAATTACGTGCTTAAAAAATAACATTTATAATAATCATTATTTATAATTATTGCTTAAAATTAAATTGAAAGTATCTGAATATTAATCTTGCAATAAATTTAAAGAAAAAAAAAAGTTCCGACATCTGTTGCATTTTGTTGTATTGCTATCCTGCATTTCAGAATAGAAATGTATCTGTTGAGATCAAATGAGATTACACCCACTAGTCCAGGCGGATTTGGTGTAGTTGGCACTAATCTGCCCCGGCTTCAGGGTTTATGACTTTCTGAGAGCGCGTATGCGGCTGGTTTAATTCAGGATCCTCTGCAAAAAAAAAAAAAATATATATAGTCTCCGTCTCAGTTAAATCTGTTAAAGTATAACGTTAGGTAGGCTATTTACCCTTAAAGAAGGTGCTACTGTAAAGATAAATATCTTGCACAAAATGCATAAAAATTATAATGATAACATTGATTCCTTAATGCAAATATAGGCTACTTTACAGCCGTTACTGTTACTATTCTGAGATACTAATGGATTTGGCGTTAAAGAAAGCAGATATAGAGCACCCCCCCCCCCACACACACACACACACACACACATGCGCGCGCGCGCACCTTAATATGCGAATGTTAAATCGTGCTTTGTTCATTTCTGCCTGTTTAACGCAGGAAATATGAAGGGAGAGAAGAATTCGTTAAAGAAAGGTGCCTTTTTCGCCTTTTTGTGTCATGCAAGACCCACAACTCCTGCATAACACATCCGATGTAATTGTGATTGATCAAGTGTGAAACTGAGGATTTCAATTTTGTGAAAAAAGTGAGGAAAAGTTGAGAGCTGTCCAAAAGGTGGGATGCCAGGGCGCACTTCAGGCTCAACGCATCTAGCCTGGTTAAAAAGGGGGAAAATGAGATATTGAGAATGAGAAGGCTTGTTAGTTAACGCGCGAGAAGGGAGGAGGTAATGAAGAGAGAGAGAGAGAGAGAGAGAGAGAGAGAGAGAGAGAGAGAGAGAGAGAATGGGTTTGGATAAGCGTTGTGGTTACCCAGCATAAGCTTGCCTTTCCCTTCTGTGACTACTCCCCGAGAGGAGGAGCGTGCTGTGCAGCGCAGTAGGCGTCAGGATCCTCAATTTCCAACTTAGCATCTTGGCAGGACGTTTTCCCAAGCAAAGCCCCCAGTCCGATCGGTGAAAAAAAAAAAAAAACAACAACAGAAAAACCACAAATAAAACTTCTGCACGGGCATGAGAGCGACGGTGCAACACAGATAAAGGAGCAGCGCGGTGAGAACTCCTTCGACCGTCAGAGGCTGGTTGGCTGGCAGCGATCAAAAATAATCCGCCTCTTTTTTTATTTCGGCTTTTTACTTTTTTCTTTTTTTTTTTTCTTGCTCTCTGCGTTGTCATCTGCAAGAAGGGGACAGACAGCGGGTTCTGCACTCACGTAGCTCATATGCGCTCCGACAGCAGCGCATGAGAAGACACAAGAAAGCGGGAGAAAGTGCGCAAGTTTAAGTGGCTTCACACTCTCCGGGCTCCAGCATGGCGTATCCTCAGGGCTACTTGTACCAGCCGTCCGCGTCTTTAGCCCTGTATTCCTGCCCTGCTTACAGCACCAGCGTCATATCAGGACCCAGAACGGAGGAGCTTGGGAGGTCCTCTTCGGGATCGGCGTTTGCGCCCTATGCTGGATCTACCGCGTTCACCAGCGCCTCTCCGGGCTATAACTCCCACTTACCGTACAGCGCGGACGCAGCGGCGGCTGCCACTTTCACCTCATATGTGGTGAGTAGGCTAAATTAAAGGTGATTATTGATTAAAGGATCCGCTTAATCGAAGTGTGAAAGTTGGTTAAAAAAAAAAAGAAGCGGCTGCTCTTTTTAAGGAAAAGTAAAACAATATTATATATATATATATATATATATATATATATATATATATATATATATATATATATATATATATATATATATATATATATATATATATATATATATATATATATATATATATATATATATATATAATTGTTTTTTATTTATTTTAATTTATTTTTTTCGCTGAGAAACAATCTCAGTGCTTTGTAGGCTGCAGAAGCTCCGTGTGATTAGGGCTAATAGGTCACTTTTCATAAGTATATTAACTGCGTCAGCTGCACAACCCAACTCCAGCAGTGAAAATTCTATTTGGCATTTTGGATGTTTTTTTTTACTTTCCTCTTTATTCTGAGATAACTTCTCCGATTGCCTTTAATGACCGAATAACGAAAAAATACACATAAATAAAAGCTAACTAAAATAAAATAACTAATGTCATATTATGGCTGCGGTTTATACTTTTTATTGGTAGCTGCAACACATTCAATACTTCAATTTCGGAAGAACATTCCTAAGGAAGTAAATGATCATAAGTGATTTAACAACAGTTACGCAAAATTTTATAAAAATTCGTTTTGCTGCAATTAAGGTGGTGCCTTTGTTTGCGTCAGCGTTTGTTCTACAGTCCATGTCATTTTTGTTTGATACATTTTGCAACTGTTTAAAATGTGAAAATATATGTTTAGGTATTTACTTTTTTAATGATTTTATTTCAGAGCTCTCCCTATGATCACACAACGGGAATGGCAGGCTCTATAGGATACCACCCTTACGCTGCGCCCCTGGGCACCTACCCTTATGGTGACCCTGCATACCGCAAGAACGCAACGCGGGACGCCACCGCCACCCTGAAGGCTTGGCTCAACGAGCACCGAAAGAACCCTTATCCGACAAAAGGGGAGAAGATCATGCTGGCCATCATTACCAAAATGACCCTCACACAGGTTTCCACCTGGTTTGCCAACGCCAGGAGGAGGCTAAAGAAGGAGAACAAGATGACCTGGACCCCTCGGAACCGGAGCGAGGACGAGGAGGAGGACGAGAACATTGACTTGGAGAAGAACGATGACGACGAGCCAAGCAAGCCCATCGACAAGGGAGACTCCACAGACACAGAAGCAGGTCGGTGTTGCAGGAGAAAAAAAAAAAGGGCAAAAAAATCATCAATTTTTCATCGCAGTCGTTTCCACTCATGGCGCAGAATTGATTGCTGGTTAATGGTGGTATATAATTTATAATGAGACGATTGCTTTAAATAATAATCACCTTGAACTCCCCTCGTTTGACTTTTCATGGGCTGAAATTGCTGGTGACGCACAGTGTTTAGCAGTCAATTTATCTTTAACGGCATAATAAGGATGCAAATGCTGAAGTGGGCTGGGAATTCAAGTGAAAGTGCTTTTACTGTGATTATTTCTGCTGAACTCCTATTTTGCTCTAAATTTTTCTGATGGAAATGCAATTTTTAAAGAATAGTCTTTAATTATTGTAAATATGATGTATACTGGGACAATTATTGATAAGGGAATTAATTATTTTTAAATATAGCCTTAATAACTATGATAGTGTTTTGTTGCCCAGTGATCAAATAAAAGTCTTTTTTTTCCAGGTCTGTCAGAATTGCGCGTTATATTTCATGGGTAGTAATTCAATTCTTTCTGTGCGCTTTAGATCCCAGACTACTGAACCCAGGGGACATTGGCTGTGACAGACTTAAAGAAGAGAGCCATAAAGAAACGGATCCCCTCTTGAGCGACTCGGAGCTAAAAGAGCAGGAGGAGCGGACTACAGAGCTGCTGCCGGATTCTGCCAAGCCGACCACCTCGTCTCCACCGGCGGCGCCCCGGGGGAATCAGGCCGGCGCTCCGCAAGACAAGCCTTCAGATTTGAGCCTCCCACAGAACACGGTGACCAGCAACGTGACCTCGGTTATCCACTCCCCCCCTTCAGCCCCGAAACCCAAACTGTGGTCTTTGGCAGAGATCGCTACGTCTTCAGACAGGTGTAAGGGCAGCGGTGAGGCGCAGCAGGCGTGCCCCGGCTTGGCTCAAAGCGCGGTGCTGGGCACCAACGCGTCTCCGTCCCGGTCCTCCCCCCAGTGCGCGCTCCCCAACAGCACGGTCCTATCCAGGCCTCTGTACTACACCTCTCCTTTCTACCCTGGCTACACGAACTATGGTGGCAGCTTTGGACCCATTCACAGTAACCACGGCTCGGTGACCACGGGCTCCACGACACATTTCAATGGATTAAACCAGACTGTGTTAAATAGAGCAGAGGCCTTGGTAAGGGAGAGCCAGAAAGTCAGAGGCCAAACACATGTAGATCTTTGTAAAGACTCCCCTTATGAACTAAAGAAAGGTATGTCAAATATTTAATACCTGAATATTTTCCACCTCCTCACGGACTTTTATTTATTTTTTATTTTTTTGTGGTTGCTTAAAAAAAAAAAAGTAAAAACAACAAGAAGAAAGATGAAGCACATTCTGAGAATACAGTTATTTTCTGAGTAAGTGCTTATCTTCAAAATATGTTTAGTTTCTGAATGGTTAATCATAAAAAAAATGTAACAAGAATGGTCTTAATCGCTGCAGCCGCCTATTTGTATGAAAGACTAACATGTATATTTAATGTAGCTTTTTGTATTTAAAATGGACAACACGCTATCTTTGAAGTAAATTATGGAGAAAAAAAACTACACACTTGTGCAGAGGTTATTTCGGCATTGCTTGATGGTTTCAAAGAGCTTTTGAGGCCAGTTAATAGGTGCAAAGTTTCACTTGCAGTTTGCACGATGACAGGTGGTTTAAAGGTAATTAATCATCAGTACACACGCAGGTCTTTTGTTTTCACATATTCTTTGAAAGTTTTGTTTTTAACAATCAGATTTTAAGGTTTAATTATATCCTTAAATTATTTATTTGATGCACGAGTTACTAAAACTGGATGTTGACAAAATAGCAGCAGCAAAGTGCAGCCATTTAACCCAATTACCTTTTCGTGTTCTACGCAGAGCAATCAGGTGCTGAACCTCGGTAATGAGGAGGATTTTATGCCAAATTTAAACCTCATTACTATTTTCTAAGGCGTGGCAAATCTGTTTAAAAGGGAAGCGACCATGCATTTAAAACACACTGGCCTATTATATATTGGAGAGCCTCTTTTTCCTTTTCATTAAATCGTACTTGGGATGTGAAACTCTGTAGAATGTTGCCATGCAGGCAGCAGAAACAGAACCATTATGAGAGTGCGCAAACCAGTGCTCTCCCCATAACTCTTCCAACTTCTGCAGGTAGGTGTCACACTTGCTCTTAAAATTTCAGGGAGGGGTTGGGTAGAGGAGTCTGGCAGTCCGTAACGGAAACCCATTTATTATGGAATTGCTTGGTTAAAAAGAATTGCAATATAATAATAATAATTATAATAATAATATGATTTATATATCGATAAAATGAAATCAAAAGGAGAATTACTGGGAGGAAAATCAAATCATTTCATAAAGATATTAAAGAGTCCATACCTGCAGAGGAAAAATAAACAAATAAATAAAAATTAAAATGAGGAAATCTGGTTTCATGTATGGGAAATTTTAATTAATTAAAAATATGTAGCCTAACAAAAAAAGTTGAAAACATTGCTTAATAAGGAAAATAATTGGATATAATATTAAACCATGTCTTAGGCCTCTAATCCAAAGGGCCATATTTTCTTTTTTTTTATTTTACAGATATTTTTTATTCGTTTAATTTTGTTTATTACCTCCTTTTAAATGACATTGAAAAGGCATAATTATTATTATTGATGTCGTTATTGATGACCTCTACTGCAGTGGGACGGCGTTCTCCTGTTTATGGCCGCCATTAATCTCTATAGTTTGCTTTTTCCCCTACTTCTCCGGCGTGAAATCTCCCTTTAGGTTTCTATAATTCCCTTAGCCTTAATGTCCTCCGCTCAGCTCCTCTTTTTTAATCTGACAGAGTGTGCAGGAGCAGTGATTGCGACACATCAGCCAGCTAAATAGCATAATTATGTTTTTTTTTTCTCCCCCCCATCATCTTCTTTCTGCTGCTGTTGATCCCCGGAGGGAGATGGAGCTGTTCCGTGTGGCTCCTCTGAGTCTGTTTAGGAGTTTTATTACAAAACACAACCAAATTACGAGTATGAAGATATACAAATATATTTTATTTAAGATGTTATTATTATTATTTGTTTCATTATTACGGTGCATTAGGAATTTATTTTTTCCCAAAGAAAAAGTTGGAATGCTTGATTTCAGAACGAAAAATTAGATTTATTTAGAAATATTTTTATTTATTTTCTTATTTTACTGAGCTACAATTTATCAGTACGCAAAATGTATTATTATTTTTAGTTGTTATCTGTAGTCCCGAAATTCAAATGTAATAATTAGTGTTTGGTATTAATTCAGTTATTTTATCATTATCGTTATTAGGCTATAATAAATATATTATTATTAGAAAATATAGGGATTTAACATATTTAATGTCAATATAGGCCTGTTTTATAATGCTGTGCTGCTGAAGGGTTTGTGCAAGAATTAAAGGCCTAACTGTAATTATCTTCAAGTTTCTGGGGAGGAAAATGAAGATGAAAAAGAGAAAAATCACCCTCCAAATTAATATAGACTGTATATAATCGTTGATTATTCTTGTTCTCTTTCCCTGCGTGATAAAAGCCAGTCAATTAACCCCAGATTACTGGAGGAAGCGGAGCGGCAGAATTTGCAAGCCTTCATCGGAGAAGGCATAACAGCCTGCAGGGGAGATCCTCCCTGCAACTTTTCTCCTCAACTCCTTCCCCGGCTTCCCATCCGCTTGAATGGCGTGTCGGTTCATTGTTGGGATCGCGACAATTTGAGAATACTAAACAGGCTGGGAGCCGTTCCCACGTGTTAAAATGAAGGGGGGAAATAATCCGACAGGGGGAGAGACTACAGAGGGAGAAGAGAGCCTCCTTCACTCCAACTTTAGAACCTAACAAACGAATCTAGTTAAAATATTTTGTTTAGCTTTTTAAAATTTTTTTTCTATTTATTTATTTTTTTAGTTTAATGTAACCACTGATTATTGGTCACAGCTGTCCCCAAAACACGGCTTATTAAAACCAATTAAAACAAATGTTTGTTATAACATTTATAAAACATTTTGTATAAAATTAGCTTCGATTATATCGAAATAGCTGTTACAAAAAGACAAAAAACGCACAAATACACACAAAAAAATTTAAATAATTAAAAATGGTAGACAACTCCGTGTCTATTTGTTTATGAAAACTGATGAGATGGACTTTTTTTTTTCTTTTTCCAAATAATTACAAAACAGCTGATATAATATAAAGTAATCACAGGAAAAACGTTAATTTTAAATTGTTTAGTCAGGCAGGCAAAGGCATAGGCCTATGTGTATATATATATATATATATATATATATATATATATATATATATATATATATATATATATATATATATATATATATATATATATATATATATATATATATATATATATATATATATATATAAATGTGTGTAGGCCTATGTGTCAGGGATTTTTTTTTTTCGCTTCTTTGAGACCAAAGAAAACACTAAGAGTTCTCCTTTGCTGACAGATATGTTTCCTAATACCATTATAATATCGACGCCGACCAGTGGAGTGGATTTCTGAACTCCTCTGCGTCAGTCCGCAAGGTGAAATCAGAACCTGTTGATTTACGCACAGAGCACGGAACATCTTATATAAACAAGCCTATTGATGCAACAGGACTTGGTTGTTGGGAGTCGGATTCAGCTGGAGAAGCGTAAAAAGACACCGGCTGTATAGCTGACCAGCTCGGATCATTCGCAGGGGTCAAGCTCATGAGCTGAAACCCAAGCGATGCCAAGTGGGGTCAAAAAAAAGGAGGGTGGTCAGAAAAGGTTTTAGTCTACCTAAGATATTTTGAGAAGGTCAAAAACCAATTCACTTAACTGTGAACTGAGTGCATGACTTATATAGCCAGGTTTTATGAAAAAAAAAAAATGACCTCAGTGTAAACTGAAACCAAGGAGTAACCTGTTTATGTTAAATGGTATTATAAAGCAGTCTTGAACCTGCTCTTGGGGCTCAGACAACATGGCAGAGAGTGATTTACCACTGTTTTCTCCCACTTCACCGACTGTTTTTCTATTTCTCCATATAGAGCCCCCTGGGAGAGATTACATGTGTAATTTTCATCTCTGAGGTGTTTCAGGTGACCAAACTCCAAACATAAAACATTTTTGCGAAATACGAAAAAGAAAAATATAGATGAGTGATGGACTATGAAGCCCTTGAAGGGCTGAGACCCATGGACCGCCATGTGTTGATAAAAAGGGGTTTATCTGGATTTAGGTGAAGATAATGACACAATTAGCTCAAATTCCTGAACTGCTTCTACAGTGCAAACAAGAAGCTTAATTAAACTTAATTGGAGACACAATTTGCACTAACACACACATGCACATTCATAAAGCTCTCCTCTGAAAGCACCTTGACTCTTTGAAAGGGGACCAATCTGGTCTGACAGCAGTGTGGTGTGAGCTTCTGACCCTGTGACTGCAAAGGGTCTGTGTTCAGTGGCCATGTTAGGGCTCGCTGAAGTTCACTCCGAGGGGTGCTGCCCTGCCCTGGGGGAGGTGACATGCACAGACACTCACACATATATGCAGGGAGGGACCTGTGGCCTAAACTCTACGCCAAAGCCCCTCAGGTATGCATGGTCATAGAGCAGTAAATGTGTGTATCCAAGTCCCAAGGTGGAGACACCAGAAGACTCTTCTTCCTCAAAACATGCACAGGTTTCCCTACATTAAAGTCTGCTTTAAAGGTGAGCAGGTTCAATACACAATCATACATATGCAATCTTGAAACATGTATGGTTTGCACTCATCCAACACCCCGAAATGTTTTATCCCACAGAGATTATGTGATTGTCATTTCAACCAGTAAAATAAAAACTAGGATTTTATAATTCTTGATTTAGAAGCTCTAATCTCACAAAACCTACAGCTGTGAAGAAGATTGATGAACTGTTTTCTTTCAGTGACTTCACAGGGTCCACAAGGGAGGAGGGGAACTGAGCTGCCTCAATGTTTATTTACATTTGCCCTTTTTAAATGATCCCTTTCTTCTCAACATCTGCTCCACATTACCACACAGATATCTGTCCTAATGACCGCTATAATGCCCGCGCTCACACACACAAGTCCTGCCTATAACATTACCATTATGCACCATTCATCTGGGACACTTCACCCTCCTCAAACCACCTTGCACAACAAATGGACCTTCCCATACTGTTGACCCTTTTTTTGTGCCAAGCTTCTAATTTTGTGTTCTCCTAGTTTGGTGTAGTCGGATAGATGCAAATGGACCCTCACTTAATTGAATTGGCTCTCAAGATGGAGGTGAAAGAGGGAACTAGTTTTTCTACTCCAGGTTATTCAAAGCTCTGCCCAACTGCCCTGGATGGTAAAAGGTTTACACACAATGTTTGGTTCAGTAGTTGATGATGCTTTTTTTTTATTTCCAGCTAAATTAAACAATAATTCATAACAAATGTCTTCTATCACTACAAGAAAAACAATCTTAGAAAAAAAGATCTAATCAAATTAATACAATCTAGCCATATTCAGCACATAAAAGAGAATCAAGTA